GTGGACATAAGTATAACATCTAGTTTGGCTATTTTTTGTTGTAGTTTTGTATTTTTGTTTGTTCAGACAGAGTCTTACTCTCTAGCATAGACTAGCCTTGAACTCCTGGCAGTCCTGCTACCTCAACCTCCTGCATGCTGGGATTGCAGGCATGAACCACCACATCGGCTGGCAGTTATAATGTCTTTGTTGTTTAGTTTTTTTGTTTGTCTTTTAAGACGGTCTCATATAGTCCAGGCTGGCGCAAACTTGCTAATAGCTAAAGGTGACTTTGAATTTGAGGTCTTCCTATTTCTACCCAAGTGCTGGATTATAGGTGTGGGCCACCATGTCTAGTTTATGTGGTGTTGGGAATTGAACCCAGAGCTTCATGCATTCAGACAAAGCACTATACCAACACCCCCAGCCTTTATTTTTTATTTTTATTTATTTATTTTTCAGATAGTCTTTCTAGCCCAGGCTAGCCTGGGTCTTATATAGACCATACTTGGTCACGAACTTGTGGTGATCTTTCTGCCTCTGCCTCTTGAATGCTGGGATTACAGGTATACAGTACCATATATGGCCACCTTAATTTAACATCCTTTTATTTTGTGCATATTGTCTCAAATCAGAATAGACCAGAGTAGGGACTAGAGAGATGACTCAGCAGTCAGGAGCATTGGCTGCTCTTGCAGAGGACCCAGGTTCAATTCCTAGCACCCACATGACAGCTAACAACTGTCTCTAACTCCAGTTATAGGGGATCTGATGCCCTCTTTTGACCTCAGGCATTGCATGACACAGGTACACAACATACATTCAGGCAATACACTCATACACTTAAGAAAAATTTTTTTAAATAGACCAGGGTAACAAATTATATATATATATATATAATAGATGAAATATTATTGAGCATAATGCTCAATCATCAGGAGATTGTCATCTTTTCACATGTTAGTTACTGTTCCTACTGGGTGACAGCAACTCAGGAGAGGAAAGGTCGGCATATGAAAGTGAACACAAAGGCAGATAATAAAAGTTCATTAGGTCATCACCGTGTCTGTCTACAGTGATCATGTAAAAGTATTTACAAAGAAAACTTGGAGATTAATTTATCCTAACTTTTACAAAAATTAAATCTGGTACCTTATTTTTTGAGTCTACATGCTTCCATGAAATTGTTTAAAACTCTGTAGTCCCAGCACTTTGGAGGTGCAGACAAGCAGATCAGGAGTTCAAGAACCTAAGTTCAGATCCTCAGCACCAACATAAACACCAGATATCAGAATATATTTGTCACTAGAGCATGGGTATAGAGGGAAGAGAGAGACGTCTCAAAAAATAGTGTGGAGAGTGATCAAGGTGGAAGGCAATCCAGGAAGACATCTGATATCTGATGTAAGCCTCTAGACCTCCATGTGCACATGTGCAAAAACCCACAAGGTCATGTACATAACACACACACACCTTGGTATAAACATTGAAACCTAAATGTGAGTTCAAGTTCATCATCTAACCCAGCTTGGTATGCAGAGGCACAGTCATCCCACAGAAGAAGCCCCAAGTGTTTTCAACTTCATAGTGGCCATTTGGATTGTGTAGAGTGATCAGTCTTTGCCTATTCATCTGCAGAACTAGGGTTTTTTAAATTAATCATTCAACAAATGATTATCTGTTATGTGTTTTCTAGTGCTGCCACAACACCACAAACTTAATGCCATGAAACAATACAGATTTATTTATTACTTATTTTGAGACAGAATCTCTGGCCGGCCTTGAACTTGCTATATAGCTGAGGATGACACTGAACTTCTGATCCTCCTTCCACTTCCCAAAGGCTAGGATTACAGGTGTACACCACCTGCCCAGTTTTATGTTGTGCTGGGGATCAAATATAAGATTTCATGCATGCTAGGCAAGCACTCTATCAACTGACCACATCCGAGCCCAACATATTGCCTTACAGTTTGGTAGCTCAAAACTCCAACATAGGTTTTACAGGGTTAAGATTAAGGTGGGGCTGAATTCTTTTCAAGAGATTTTTGAGTTTCCAGAGAACACCCCCTTTCTATGCTTGTGGCCCTTCTCCATCTGCAAAACTAGATACATCACATCTACCTAGCTATTTCTCTAGTCATATTAACATTTCTACTTTTCTCTCACTTTTAAGGACTCGTAATTACACATTGTCCCAGCCTGGCGCTGGAGGCCTTTTATACCCAGCTGCTCTGAAGGCTGAGCAGGGAATTGCAGGTTCAAGACCTGTGTGGGCTGCAGAGTGATTACAGTGTCCCACCTGAATTAGCCAGGCTAATCTTATTTTAAGGCCAATTAATCAAACCTTAGGTTCTTTTTTTTGTAAACTTTTTTTTTATGTGTATGCATATATTGCCTGCATGTAGGTAAGTGCATGTGTGCCGTGCAGAAGAGGCTGTTGGATCCCCTGGCACGAGTTACAGACAGTTGTTAGCTGCCATGTGGGTGCTGGGATTCGAACCTGGGTCTTCTGCAAGAACACTCAGTATTCTTAATCGCTGAGCCATCTCTCCAGCCCTGATAAAGAGTTTTTAAAAAGATCCTAGGGGCCAGGTATGGTGGTACACACCTTTAATCCTGGCACTCAAGAGGCAGAGGCAGACAGATTTCTGTGTGGTCGAGGTTAGCCTGGTACATAGTGAGTTCCAGGCTAGTTGGGGAGACCTTGCTCAAAACAGCAACAAAAGATCCTAGGGGCTAGAAATGTAGCTCAGTGATAGAATGTTTGTCTGGCATGTGTTAGGTTCAGTTCCTAGCACTAGCCAAAAGAGAGAGGAAGAGAAAGAGGAGATGAAGTAATATAATCTGCATAGAGCCTGTAAACTAGAAAGACATTATTTGGCATTAAGATCGGTCTACCTGTATGAAATGAATAGAGGAGCTTTTCATCTTTTCTTATGATTTAGAATTAATATCCTCCTTACAAATTAGGTAAAACTACGTTGTAAAACAATCTAGGGTCAAGCTGGGTATAGGGGTACACACTTTTAGTCCTAGCACTCAGGAGGCAGAGGCAGGCAGATTTCTGTGAGTTCAAGTCCAGCCTGGTCTACATAGTGAGTTCCAGGCCAGCTGGGGCTGTGGGGAGACCTTGTCTCAGAAAGAAAGAAAAGCAATCTAGAGTCTAGAAATGTGACTCAGTGATAGATTTGCCTAACATGCACCAGGCCATGGATTCAGCTCTTCCCCTGAGGCCTCTTTGACATAGAAAATATCATCAGCCTTCTGACTTTATTTTAAATGGCTCCTCTTCATCTCATTATTAAAGGAGAGATACCCATCCCTAAAGTTACAGGAGTTACCAAACAAGTCACCTAACACTGGACAAGTGAGATTGACAGCATGTATTGCTTAAATGTAATCGCAGCTTGAGGGCAGAGGATACCATAGGCCTGGCAAGGCCACATTGGAGTTGTACTTGGGAATAGAATAAACAGCTAGGAGCTGTGGGAGCAGGTTTTGTAGTAACTAGAGAACTGGGTGTTTCTAGCTCTGGCAATTACTGTGACTGACCTCTTTGAATCATTCCTAGAACTGGGCAAGGAAAACTGAAACCTGCTGAGAGGTAAGTAGGGGCTGCACCTCTTCCATGTGCCAAGAAGACTGGCTCAAGGACTTCATTCACACATCCGGAGTGGGAGGGCAACTTGTACTATGACCATTTAAGCCTCCTAATACCAAGTCAAGGTAGCAAATAGTCTTGAACCTTAATTTCATCTCCTGACAAATTAGAGTGTCTTGTTCTCAGTCACTCTCATACACACAGTAGTAATAAATAAGAAAAGAATAAGAAAACCTCTTATTTGCACCAGGCAAAGCACTTTAAGCAGACAAAAGGCCAACTTTGCTGTTACTTTTACTGAGGGGAAAGATACGGACAAGGGATGAGAAGAACTTGACAGGAATCTATAAAAATTCAGGCATGTGCAAGGGGATTTTTAACTTGGGCAGAGGCTTTGAAAACCTCCCAGAAATCACCAGTCATGTGAGAGATGGGTCCAAGGAAATAATAGAAAATTAGAGCCCCAAAACTGGCAATGACAAGGCCAGATGTGATGGCTCCCATTTTTAATTCCAGCACTGGGGAGGCAAAGACTGGTGGATCTCTTCCAGCACCAGGGAGGCAGATGCAGGGCAATCTCTGTGAGATGGAGGCCAGCCTAGTCTACATATCAGGATCCAGGCCAGCCTGGTCTACATAGCGAGTTCCAGGCCAGCTGGGATTCCAGGGAGACCCTGTCTCAATAAAAAACAATTGTCAGTGACACTAAAATGAGCCCATTATAGAGTTGACAACAGCCAAAAAAGAGGATAAGTGGACCGGAGAGATTGGCTCACCAGTTAAGAGCTGTGGCTGTACTTAACAGAAGACCTGGGTTCAAATCCTAGTACCCACATGGTGTCTAACAATCATCCATGACTCCAGGTCCAGGGGGTCCAACATCCTCTTCTGTCCTCTGGGAGCACTGCTGACACAGGTGCACTTATACCATGCAGGCATAACATATACATAAAAATAAATGTAGCCACTAGGATTCGAACCCATTTTCTGCAAGAATAGCCAGTGCTCTTAGCCACTGAGCTCTCTCTCCAACCCCAAACTAAAAATTATTTTTTTAAAAGGAGGGTGTGGGGGGGTGGTGCTGGGCGGCACCCAGGTAATCACCCAGGCACTAAGCACAACATCCTTGAATTACAGCACCATTTCTTGGGGAGTGGTGAAACTATTTTTTTTTTTTGGCTAAAATAGTTGTAAACAAAACCTAGGTCTACCATCCATGCTAAAAGGGACAAATATAAATAGATGTGAAGGCAAAAGACTCATTACAGCCTGGTGCACACCTTTAATGTTGAGCACCAGAGAGGCAGATGCAGGGCAATCTCTGTGAGATGGAGGCCGGCCTAGTTTACATAGCGAGTTCCAGGCCAGCTGGTGCTACAGGGAGATCTTGTCTCAAAAATAAATAATCTCTCCGGAATTCTTTTTTTGGTTCATACTCATGATGATTGGATGTGCATGCCATTGTGTGACTGGTGCCTCCCACAAACCTTTTTACCACATAGACACATTACCCATCTTGTGAAAAAAAAATTCTTTTTCTCTCAGGACTCAGTGGCACAGGCCAGGAGAATCACTGCAAGCTCGAGTGCACCCTGGTTCACAGAGTTCCTTACAGAAAGAATGTAAAAATGATTTGTCATTGATAATTGTGAAATAGGAACATCTTATTTAATATATATATATATATATATTTTGGGGGAGGATCTTTTTGAGACAAGGTCTCCCTGTAGCCCTAGCAGGCCTGGAACTCCCTGTGTAGACCAGGCTGGCCTGGAACTCAAAGAGATCCACCTGCTTCTGCCTCCTGAGTGCTGGGATTAAAGGCATGCACCACCATGCCTTACTTTATTTAATAATTTTAAAAGCAAACATTAGAACCAAAAACAGGCTTTAAAAACAATTGTGGGGGGGGCGGGGGTGATTAGAAAAGAGCAAGAAGATCCGGTCGTGGTGGCGCACGCCTTTAATCCCAGCACTCTGGAGGCAGAGGCAGGCGGATTTTTTGTGAGTTCAAGGCCAGCCTGGTCTCCATAGTGAGTTCTAGGCCAGCTGGGGCTACAGGGAGACCCTGTCTCAAAAACTACCAAAAAAAAACCAAGAAATAAAAACTATAAAATAGGATGACTGAAGGCCAGCCCCCCGCACGTCAGTTGCCACAGCAGATAGGAGCCCAATGATCTCAGAGTGGAAGCGCTGTGTTTTTAGGACAGACTCTGGCACTACTACCTTTTGCTAATGCTTAAATCTGGGCCTGGCTTGTTTCCCCACCCTAATCGGCTAAAGCCATAGGGTGGCTTCCTTAAGACTTCCTTCAGGAAGTCTTCCTGGGCGGCTGTCAGTCCCCGTGACACCCTGAGGCGCGCTCATGAGGGAGCCGGGTCCGGTTGAAGTCTTCACCCGACTCGTTCGCTCGCTCTCTGGGATCCCGATGAAATGTCGGCTCCACGCCAGGCACAGAGCACAAGGGGAAAACGTTCCAAGCCTACTGGAATACAAAATATGTGTATTTCCCTCGGCTCTTCGACAGCCGCAAGTTTCAAACTGCTTCGGTTTGCTGGGTCTTCCTTCCGCGAGGTCGGATTCCCCGGCGCCAGCAACGACCCTCCGCACCTGTCAGATGTAAAGGCTCTTTAAGACGTGAGGCCGAGTTCTGGAAGAGCCGGTGCAGGAGACCGAGGCTCAGCTGAGTCGGAGCGGAGGGGCTCCTTGCCAAAGATGTGGGGTTCAGGGAGGATGGGCTCCTGCTTGGACTTGGAGAGCAGAGACTGGGGGCTGAGCCCAAGACACGAGAGAGCGGATACCCGGAGCCATGCAAAAGGTCGGTGCCACAGAGCTGGGGTGTCACGGAGCCGGGGAGAAGACGGGTCCCGAACGCCGGCAGCGCTCAGCGACCACGGGGTGAGACGCGGCGTTCCACCGGGTCCCGGGATTGGCGGCCCCGGGAGGCGTGGTCGGAGGGCGGGCCCGCGTTTGCCGCAGCCGCTGGTGGGCGGGCCGGGCGGAGAGCGGGCGGGGCTGAGAGCCGAGCGAAGCGCGCGCCGGCGCCCAACGGGGCGGGCTTCGGGCTGCGCCAGCGAGCCGGGCAGCTGGCGCCGGTGTCGGAGCCCCTGCGCGGGACCCTGAGGCAGTGAGTAAGTGATGCAGGCCCAAGGGCTGCCCCTCCAGGCTCTCCCTCCGGATCCCGCGTCCGCTGCACGCGGCGCTTCTGGCGGGTCCAGAGCTGAGGAGGGGGCGCGTCCCTCCGCTGGGGTCCGGGGGACTGGGGAATGAGGCCGATGATGTCATGGAAGCTTCACCCGGCCTGTGGGGAGGTGGCGGACGGAGGGGGTGCGGCTCGGATTATGTCACCTCATCTCTCTGCACCCCGCCCCTCGGGGCCACGCGCGTTGTTGGGAAACCGAGGGAGGTTCGGGTGGAATTTCCCCCACCGCAGAGACCCCCGTGGCATCTTCACGGATGGTTTGTGGTCGGGGTCTCTTATCTGCTGGCGAATGGCCACACACACACACACACACACACACACCCCACACGTGCGCGCGCGGCAGAGGCTCGTGTGCGCGCGTTGGTGTGCTGGGGTGGGTAGGTGGGTGGGGGTGTGCTATCGGTCCCCTCAGCCAGAAGCACCTGCTTCACCAGAGCTGGGATCTATGGGGTGAGCCTCTTCCCCTGCAGGTGCCCACACCTCCCAGGGAAGATGGATCTCCCCTCATGCATCCCAACCAAGAAGTTCTGCCCCCGAATCCCTTCCCTCAGTCCCTCTTCCCGGTTTCTCTCTCTGAATTCATTGCCTATTTGCATTGCTCATGACCAACATTCCCACATGCGTTTGCCTTGCATTTTCTGAAGCCAGGGCCCAGAGACCTGACATCATTTGTACCCTGGGGGCACCACAGGCTATCAGGAAGCCTGAGAGTGAAATCTCCCAGAGGCTGCTGAGCTAAGTGCCCCAAGACCCCTAACTATCAGAGATATATCCTGAGGCAGAATTTGGACTGGTTCCAAAAGAATACAGGTTGGGCAGAGAACTGATAATAGGTTGTGTATTTAGTAGAGCTCACATCAGGGAAATATAGAATGGTCATCAGGAAAGGCCTTAAGGACCCTGCTGCAAGCTCTCTTTGGTTGTGGGGGTTGAAAGGAATACCACGCATTTTACACATAATCCGTTTACTTCTTAAAATTCCAACAAGGTATGTATGAGAATCTGAGGTGGAATAACCTGCATGAGGTTCCACTCCTAATCAGCTGAGCTGTGATTTACACTGATGCTGCCGGAACACTTGCACTTGACCCTGCTCATGGATGGACATAGCCAGAACAGGATCAAAATTGACTTTACCCTTTAGAAATAGTCCCCTGGTGGCCGCTGGGGAGAGGGTGCAGGAGAATAAAGGCCAGTGAGGAAATCCAGCAGGGTATTTGCTGGGGGAGTTGGGGGTGGTGGTGACTGTTGAGCTCCTTAGGAGGTAGAATGGGCTGGGATTGGGGCCTGTGTCCCCAGGTGTTCCACCTTTGGAGAAATCCTGTGTGGTCTTTGTGGGTTGGAGGGATCTGAATATGTAACTCCCCAGGTAGAATCCACTGGCCCCTTTTGACCACTATTACTGTAATGTCACAGGTATTGAAGGTTGATGGGATAGAAGCAGACTCAAGAAACAGGCCATGCTGTGAGGCTGCCTGTGCAGATCACACTCAGTTACCTGTGCCAGTCCAGGAGCCTGACCCACAGAGGAAGCTCAGCTCTTTCTCTCACCTTAGTTCCCACTAATTGGGGAAATACAACCCCCTCATTGTCCTTCCAGGTCTCTGCCAGGGTTTTCAGGAAAGAATCTGCAGTAGCCCAAGGTTGGGAGAGGCAAGGGGCAGATTAGAGTTATGGCAAGGAGCTCTATGGGGATCACCTGTAGGTTGAATACAAAGCATTCCCCATGTGGACCATGAGAAGGAAGGTCAGGACAATATCCAGGACTCTGGGCACCTGAACTTGGCAAGGACCAAACACCCTAGAGAAAGAATGAGGCAGGGTGACATGTGTATGACTATGTCCAATCTGGGCTGTGATTCTCCTTTCCTAGATCTCAGAAAGGGCCGTAGTGAACTTTATAGTTTATAAAACATCTTCTCAAACATTATGTTATTTCTTGTCACTCACAATCAACACATTCACTTCTGGGGGTTTTCTTGCCCCCACCTAGGCCTCTGGTGTAGCTCCCTTGCTGGCGCCTTGCCTAGGTCCTTAATCTCACTAGTGGTGCCTACTTTCAGTGTTTCAACACAGTCAAATTCCTACTAAATTTTTAAAAAATATTTTATTATTTAAAAAACTTTTAAAGTATTTTATTATTTTTATTTTATGTGTATGAGTGCATTGCCTGTATGTAGGTAAGTGCACCCATGTCGTGCAATGCCCACGGAGGACAGAAGAGGCTGTCGGATCTCCTGGGACTGGAGTTACGGACAGTTGTTAGCTGCCATGTGGGTGCTGGGATTCGAACCTGGGTCTTCTGCAAGAACAGCCAGTGTTCTTAACCATGGAGCCATCTCTCCAGCCCCCTGATAAATTTTATTTTTTTGTCTATGAATTGTGTGAGTGCACTTGCAGGCATGGTGTGTGTGTATTATGCATACCTATGTGTGCAGAGAGGAGGACATTAGATGTACTGCTTTATCACTGTCTGCCTCATTCCCTTAAGACAGGATCTCTCACTGAACCTGGAGCTAGGCTGACAGCCAGCAAGCCTTAGTGAACTTCCAGTCCCTGATCACTGTATAGGCACTAGCACAGTCATAACCAGCTTTTTATGTGGCTGTGGCTGCTATGGATTGAATTCAAACTCAGGTCTTTAGGCTCTACAAGCAAGCACTCTTACTAAGCCATTTGCATAGCCTCTAGTTGTTTGTTTGAGAGGATCTCACTATACAGCCCTGGGTGTGAAATACCCACAGAGGCCAGGAAAGGGTATTGGATCCCCTGGGATTGGAATTTCAGACAGTTGTTAGTTGTCATGTGGGTATTAGGAACCAGTGCTATTCATGACTGAGCCATCTCTAGCCCAGCCCCCACACCCTTTTTTTGGGGGGGGTGGTCTTTTTGGGTCTCCCTGTAGCCCCAGCTGGCCTGGAACTCACTATGTAGACCAGGCTGGCCTCGAACTCACAGAGATTTGCCTGCTTCTGCCTCCTGAGTGCTGGGATTAAAGGTGTGTACCACCACACCTGGCTCTTTTCTAAGTTTATTTTTGCTTTATTTTTATTTTATGTGTACGGGTGTATTGTGTGCATATATGCAAGTGTACCCATGTCATGCACTGCTGAAGGAGGACAGAAGAGGGCGACAGACCTCCTGGAACTGGAGTTACAGACCGTTGTTAGCCGCCGATGTGGGTGCTGGAATTTGAACCTGCATCTTCTGCAAGAACAGCCAGTGCTCTTAACCACTGAGCCATCTCTCCAGCCCCTGCCTCCACATTCTTGAACCCCACCCCCTGCATTTGGTCTTTAGGGCCCAGCTTCTTTTTGACTTTTTCCCCACTTCTGTATTACCTCCCATATTTCTGGGGATCTGCCACCTTTGCTTGATGCTGGGTTCACCTGTACCATTCTTGGATGCTCACAATCCTACTCTCTCCACTGGTAAGAGGTATCTCTTTGCTCTTCTTAAAAACACCTGTTGGATGGGTGAATCTCTGTGAGTTCAAGGCCAGCCTGGTCTACCTAATGAATTTCAGGCCAGCTGGGGCTACAGGGAGACCCTGTCAAAAAGAACAAAACAAAACAAAAAGACCCCACTTATTTCTCTCAAGCAATCTTCTGATCGTGTTAAGGCTGTCAACCACACTGATGCCCTGGCCTCTTCTCAAGTTCCCTCCACTTGAACTCCAGCTGTATGAGGTCTTGCCAGTTCTTCCTGTAACCCTGCTCAGGCCTCCCAGCTGGTTCCAACCCTCAGGCCATTCACCCTCCACACTGCCAGTCTCAGTTGTTCATCACCTTGCACTCAGAATGAGAGAAGGGGGCAATGCTTCAGGGAGGAGGGGGTTTCAAGGTTGAGAGCTAGCAGGCTGACGTATGCCATGGCAGTGGGCAAAGTGGGAATGAGAGAGGCTGAAAGCACAAAGTTTAAGGAGGCCTGGCTCTTTGGGTAGTGCACCTGCCCATTCTGCACTTTAGTTTTGTACTAGGTGCCTCTTGTGCCCCAGACTGGTGCTAGCCTACGTATAGGCACACACTGACCAGGAGGAGGAAAGTGGCAATGTGCCATTATCTATATCTATACCTGTGGGGATATGCACTGAGAAAATGGATTTCTACAATGGCAGTGGACCAGCTTGATAGTGAATTTATCCACCACCTAGAACCATAATGCTTAGTGTGACCAGAAGTTAATGAAGGACAAATGTATGGACAGCCTCCCATGGTCTGGGTTTGATAGAAAGGCTACAATGTTAGAACTAGGTATCTGGGTAGTAGGAAGTCTGCAGAGCAGACAAGGGGATGCAATGTGGACCCCTTAATAGGGAAGAAGGGTGCCTGCTTTCTAAGGGGACTAAGGGTTAAAGGTCTGAAGGCTGGCCCACTTTCATCTCTGGCACATGTGATCTCTGGCACACTTATGTATTTGAGCTATTTGAGCTTTTGGCTAAAGTGACTGCCTGGTGCCCCTACCTACCTGGGTTATGCAGATCTCTGCGGCCGGTGTTTCAAGGTGCTGACTTGAGACAAAAGAACCAGGAAGCAAACAAAACCTCTTAGCACAGGAAATCCGAAGCCTTGCTCCCCCTTCTGTGGGCCAGCTTTGAGGGAGGGAGAACTCTCTGTCAACCAAGCAGGGTCAAGGTCCAAAGGGAAGGGGTGGAGGAATGGCTAATCCAAGAACTCTTCCTGGTGGTACAGGATTCTTAGCGGGGTTGGGCAGGCTTAGGATCCTCAGGGGTCATTACTGGTTGTGCAAGCCCCGCCCCTCCGCCCACCTGTGGGAAAAGCTGGGCGGGAGGCAGCGGGCTGCTGGCCCTGCTGTGTCCCTATTCCTGTGTCTCTGCTCCAGCCTCTGGCAACTTGGGAACCTCCGCCAGAGTATTGACCTCAGAGAGTGTGGCTTTTTCAGGCCAAGCCCCCATGAGGCCGGGTTAGGAAGATCTCCAGAAGCGCTCCTTTGCCACCTGCTGCAGCCGCAACCCGGGTGTGTCAGTCTGCGCCCACCCGCGACCTTGGCGCGGGCTGCAGCGGCAGCTCCGCCCACCCACTCAAAGACCAGGGCACCTGGCGCGCAGCAGCTGGGTTTTTCATTACTCCAATTTCACAGAGAAGAAAACTATAGTCCGGGATGGCTCGGTCGGCACGTCCAAAATTGCGCAGCTGGTTCAGGCCGAGCCCCGACTGGGAGAGTGAGCCATATGGCCCCCGCAGACTTGGCCTGGGAGGGTCCCAAGCTTGAGGACCCGTCAGCCCCCCACCCCCTTGAAAAGGTAAGGAGAGAAGTTTGCACCTGTAGTGAGATTTCACTTCTACCCTTGATTGAAAAACCATGGGTCAGGGGGCTGGGAAAGACTCCCACTGTCAATTTTATATAGATAGGGGTTAACTTCTGAGGTTCCCTATTGGATTCAGGTACTGCTTTCTGCTACTACCCCCTCCTCCCCCCATCCTCCCAGCCATGAATCTGGACTGTAGCAGCCATGACCCAGAATTTAGTTTTTTTTTTTAGGGAAAACTAAATTCTGTCAGTTGCAACAAAGAATTGAGAGGGTCACTGAGTCTGGGAGGCTGATGGATGGGGGTGGAGTTAAGAGTGAGCCCAGCTGGAAAGGTATGTGCATGGTGCCCCCATTTCCAAGCTATTGCTATTAGCTCTATGCCTTCACTTTGGGAACCTGGGAACCTGTATGCCCAATGTAGAGGACACTGAGAGACAAACTGGGGCCAGGACTGACCTGACTGGGGGTGTGGGTGGGATGGATTCTGACCTCTCTGCCTTCCTATCTGTGCCCACAGTGCCCTTCTGGCTTAGTCATGGCGAAGCTGGAGACACTACCTGTGCGTGCTGACCCAGGGAGGGATCCTCTCCTGGCCTTTGCCCCACGGCCTTCTGAGCTTGGACCTCCAGATCCCCGCCTGGCCATGAGCAGTGTGGGCAGTGGGGTGGCCCATGCCCAGGAGTTTCCTATAAAAAGTGTGGGCACCCGCACAGGGGGTGGGGGCAGCCAGGGCAGTTTCCCTGGTCCCCGAAGCGGTGGTGGTGGGGTCAGTAGGGAGAGACCTGGCCGCTACCCCTCAGAGGACAAGGTTCTCACCAACTCTCTCTACCTCAATGGCGAGCTTCGGGGCAGCGATCACACAGATGTCTGTGGCAATGTGGTGGGCAGCAGTGGTGGCAGCAGCAGCAGTGGGGGCAGCGACAAGGCTCCACCACAGTATCGTGAGCCCAGTCACCCACCCAAGCTCCTGGCCACCTCTGGCAAACTAGACCAGGTCAGTCCCTAGGGCATGAGAGCCTTCATAGCCTTGTTCTAGGGTGGGAGGTAACCCAGAGAGGAGGAGTGAAATGGGACTTCTTGGCGGGGGGAGGTTGGAAGTTAGGGTGGGAAGCTGTGGAGTAGGACTATGGGGCTGTCTCATTGGTGGATCCAGGATAGAGATGGCTCTTGGGAGACATGAGGTAGAGACCTAGATGGGGAGCCCCAGAGTGGAGATCTAATAGGGGTGGGAGGTAGTTCTTTAAAAAGTTTTGGACATAGGGAAGAGGAAGGGCCAAGGCTAAGTCCTCACTCTGATGCCCACTCCCCCTGCCTTGCTTTTATGCAGTGTTCAGAGCCACTAGTTCGGCCATCAGCCTTCAAGCCTGTTGTACCCAAGAACTTCCATTCCATGCAGAACTTGTGTCCTCCACAGACCAGTGGGACCCCTGAGGGACGGCAGGGCCCTGGTGGCCTCAAGGGCGGACTGGATAAATCTCGGACCATGACCCCAGCGGGTGGGAGTGGGGGCGGCCTCTCAGACTCGGGCCGGAATTCCCTCACAAGCTTGCCCACCTATAGCTCCAGCTACAGCCAGCATCTGGCACCCCTCAGTGCTTCCACCAGCCATATCAACCGTATCGGCACTGCCAGCTATGGCAGTGGCAGCAGTGGGGGGTCAGGTTACCAGGATCTGGGGACCTCTGACAGTGGGCGCGCCTCCAGTAAGAGTGGGTCATCATCCATGGGGCGGTCAGGCCACCTGGGATCTGGGGAGGGCGGAAGTGGGGGCCTGCCATTTGCAGCCTGTTCACCACCCTCGCCCAGTGCACTGATCCAGGAGCTGGAGGAGCGGCTGTGGGAGAAGGAGCAGGAGGTGGTAGCGCTACGGCGCAGCTTGGAACAGAGCGAGGCAGCAGTGGCCCAGGCGCTGGAAGAGCGGCAGAAGGCATGGGAGCGTGAGCTCGCTGAGCTTCGGCAGGGCTGCAGTGGAAAGCTGCAGCAGGTGGCCCGCCGTGCCCAGCGTGCCCAGCAGGGCCTACAGCTGCAGGTGCTGAGGCTACAGCAGGACAAAAAACAGCTGCAGGAGGAGGCAGCCCAGCTGATGAGGCAGCGGGAAGAGCTAGAGGACAAGGTGGCCGCCTGCCAGAAGGAGCAGGCCGACTTCCTGCCCCGGATGGAGGAAACTAAGTGGGAGGTGCGGGCTGGGGGCATAGGCCTTCCCTCTCTAGCTCCCTTTCAACTTCTGCCCCTCTGGAGACCCCAGAGCAGCAGCTAACCATTATGAAGTGGGGAGGGGGGGTGTGAAAAGAGTAGGGTCACTAAATCAGTTCAGAGTGACAGAGCCGAGGCTGACCCTGGGCTGTATGAGCTGATCCGAACCAGGCGGGGAGCCCCAGGGACTGAATCTGAGTCCAGGGGAAGCTGGTACCTCTGGTGCTAGATGTGGGAGCTGGGTTGAGGTAAGCCTTCATCGCCTCGGCTCTGCCTTTACCCTGGCTTCTGCTTTCACCTGTCCCTGCCCAGGTGTGCCAGAAGGCTGGTGAGATTTCCCTCCTGAAGCAGCAGCTGAAGGACTCGCAGGCTGATGTGTCGCAGAAGCTCAGTGAGATCGTGGGACTGCGCTCACAACTGCGGGAGGGTCGGGCCTCACTGCGGGAGAAAGAGGAGCAGCTGCTCAGCTTGAGAGACTCCTTCAGCAGCAAGCAGGCCAGCCTGGAGCTGGGTGATGGCGAGGTGCCCACTGCTTGCCTCAAGCCTGCACTGACCCCCGTGGACCTGGCCGAACCCCAGGAGGCGCTGGCCTCCTGTGAGAGTGATGAGGCCAAGATGCGCCGACAGGCTGGGGTAGCAGCTGCTGCCTCCCTGGTTTCCATGGATGGGGAGGTGGATGCTGGGGGGGAGAGTGGGACACGGGCCCTGCGTCGAGAGGTGGGGCGACTGCAGGCTGAGCTGGCTGCTGAGAGGCGGGCCAGGGAGCGCCAAGGTGCCAGCTTTGCAGAGGAGCGCCGTGTATGGTTGGAAGAGAAGGAGAAAGTCATCGAATACCAAAAGCAGCTCCAGCTGAGTTATGTGGAGATGTATCAGCGTAACCAGCAGCTGGAACGGCGGCTTCGGGAACGAGGGGCCGCAGGAGGTGCCAGCACGCCTACCCCCCAGCATGGCGAGGAGAAGAAGGCCTGGACCCCCTCCCGCCTCGAGCGCATCGAGTCCACAGAAATCTGATGCTCTGTGTGCAGCCTTCTGACAAATGCCCTGTCCGAAGGCCGGAGTCCCCAGTGTCCCCTTTGTCCATTTCCCTTCCCCATATGCCGCATTTCCCCAGACCAAAGAGGTTCTCAAAGCAGCTGTGACCAACACCTCGCCGCTCCCCCCACCCCCCAAGTCCACGCAGCTCTAGTACTGCCTTTGTGGACAGCTACTCCAGACCTTCCTGCCAAGGAGAGAGTGGGGGAGGATGGAGTGCATGGGGCCGAGGTCCCAGATGAAAGGTGCATGCCCCCATAATGGGAAGTCTCTCTTGTTGGAGATGGACGCAGCAGGCTTGCAGTGCCAGGAAGTGCCCCCTGCTCTATGGGGCTTTGGACTGCTGCTGTTGGCCACCTTGTGTCCAGTGCTGCTGTCTTCTCTCCTAGGCCTCCTGAGGGGGCCTGCACGGGTCTGCCAATGCTGACAGATCCTGGGCTCCTGGCCTCTCTCCTTCATGTGGTATTTTTCCTTCCCAGGCAGACTGGCAGGACAAATGGGAGCAGATGGTATACCTGCAGTTGAGCAGGCTACCTGCCCAGCCCCTCCCCACTAAGGTATCTTGGGCTCAGGCCTCAGAGCCTGGAGTGGTCATAAGCATGTGTCCCTCTACATATGTTGAGGAAGGATAGGGCTGGAGCTGGAAGCTCAGCACCCAGAAGGAATCTACCTTCCTGTTCTTGGGAATAGTTACCTGGAGGCTTCTCAGCTCTGTCCTAACCCTTTGAGCCAAGATCCTACAGGGTAACAGTCCCTGCTGCTTGGTTGACCCCACCATACCAAGGGCCTCTGTTCAGCTCTTAATTATAGCTATTAAGTGCTACCTTCCTCTTAGGCATTCCATTTGCCCCATTTCTGAGGTCAGATGGGTGTCCGATGTCTTCCTGTGTTTCCCCCACTCTCCTCCCCCAGCCTCCTGCTTTCATGCTCATGTCATCTCCCCAAGCTGCCTTTTCATCAAAGTCTCACCTTTTCTTCCAGTAGAAAGTTCTGCTTGACATTTGGTGCACTGCTCACTTCCCAGCTCCACTGGCCCAGGACTGACCTTGAGGCCCAGAGAGGCTGGGCAGTGTTGGATGTGATTGCCCTTGAAGAATGAGGCTGACCTGAGAGGACCACTGACCCTTTGGTTGCTTGCCAAGCTCTGAGTTGGCTCATTTGTCCAGGGAGGCCTGTCCTCACCCTTTATCAGTACAGGTTGGGACAGTCAATGTCACTTCTGTCTCTGGGGTCTCTCAGATTCTATCTCCCCAAGATTGGAAGGGGAATTCTAATTCCTCTTCTAAGAAAGTAAATTTCCAATTCACCAGCAATAACAATCAGAGGTGGCTTGGCCCTCAGTCCTTGTATTTCTTTTTTCACTCTCTTCTAACACCAAGAATGAATTTTGGGGGGCAGAATGGAGAGAGTTGGCAGCTACTGTGAGTGAGTCCCCCAGCCTCTGACCAGCCTCTTCCCATGACTGGTTACTGTTTGATGAGCTGTGCATCCCCCACAAAAACAGGAGTGCCTTCTTTGTGGCCTCCAACCTTCTTGCACAGCACCTTCTGGGTGGTCCTCAATAGGCTTTTGACCTGAGTTGGAGGCCACTCTGGCAACCACTGCCCATTCCACTAACCTCTCACTACACCTGCTCCAGAACCTGGGCCTGTGCCACAGGGGATGAGAGAAGGCTTTAATAAAAAAGGGAAAGAGGGAGAGAGGAAAAAATATGAACAGACTCAGCTTTGGGATGTCCAACCACAATATATATATAAATATATATATATATAAATATATATCTACCATATGTGATGGAAAGACTTCATTTTCCTTTCCCAAAGAAATAAAATGGAGAAAGCCTCTTGACTGGCATTCAATGACTTCTTGTATCTTTCAGGTATGAGAGGTAAGGTTTGGGGAGCAGGGCAGACCCGGAATAAGCATTCCCCAGAGGTGTTCATGGGGCTGTGCAAGGAGACTGGCTTAAAGCCCGAGCTCTTCCATGTTTGCACAGGGGGAGTCATGGCTCCACCTTTCCTACCATAAGGCTTTCTCTTCAGCTTAAACTGTTAGCAGGATTTCCAGCTGACTCTGGCCCAGAATCTGGACACTAGGCTGCTGTCCAGAAGACAGGTGATACAGAACAGTTGGATGCAACCTGCAGACACTTAAACCACCTCACAGTGATTAGCACAGGATGGGTTTTCAATTAGTGGCAAAAGGGACCCAAGTGTGCTGTACAATGGTCTTTTATGGTAGTTCCTTCTGTCCTCACAAAGCCCTACAATCATGAATGTAGTTTTCTGTAAGCATCACAACTGGATCTACACTTTAAAAAGTGGCTCATTTTTCCCCACCTGACAAGAAGTCAGGTGTCACAGATGTTGGTTCTTTGTGGACCTAGACTTTTCATCCTCCCACTCTTCAATCCTAGTTTGTTTCCTCTTTGCCACAAAGTGACTGCCACAACTCTATGATGGGATTGATTTGTACCAGTTTGTCATATTAAAAGCTTTTCTGGGGGCTGAGAAAATGGCTCCATCAATAAAGTGCCTGTCATACAGGCATGTGAATCTGAGTTTAGATCCCCAGCACTGACATATAAGTGTGCCTCGTGGCCTGTGTCTGTAACCCAAGCACAGGAGGTTGTGGGTGGGGTTGACAGGTGGATCCCTGGAGCTCAATGGCTAACCATTCTAGCCAGAATCTATGAGCTTCAGGTTCAGTGAGAGACCCTGTCTCAGAAATTAAAATGGAGAGTGATTGAGGAAGACACTTGATGTTGACCTCTGGCCTCCACACTCTCATATGTGTATGCACACATATAAACATATATACACAAACACCACACACACAAGCTTTCCCAGAACCATGTAATCACTCTTCCCTGTAAGTCTAAGTCTTGTTGACTAAAGTTGAGTTATAAGCTCTTCCCATTTCAAGGGAGACTGGGAAACAGTATTTAGCAGAGGAACAGGACTGTCATGGTTGCCTAGGAGCAACTGTGGTTTGCCCCCTGGGTGTGGGCTTTCTCATTCTGGGTTCTGTTGGCAGAGACAGACCCACTGTAAGCCATGATATCAGTGGTCTGGGGCACCAAATGTTCACATGCAGGCAGACATCCCTCCATAGAACTGGGAAGTTGGGACTCTGGGCTTATCCCTCCTTGTACGATCAGGTCCTCTTACATTGTTTTTGTCTCCCCAATATGGTGCCCTGGAGACAGCATGATTTCTCAGATCTCCTTCACAGCCTTTTTAATGACACTGAGAAGGCTGAAGACTCTGATTAGTCACTGACCAGTCTAGGACCAGGCCCTCCTAATAAAGAGGTTTTGGCTGGGCATAGTGACACATGCCTTTAATCCCAGCACTTGGGAGGAAGAGGCAGGCGGATCTCTGTGAGTTCAAGGTCAGTCTGGTCTACAAAGCAAGTTCCAGGCCAGCTGTGGCTAAAGGGAGACCCTGTCTCAAAAATACACATACATACATACATACATACATACATACATACATACATAAAAGTTTTATAGACTTCCTTGCCTTGGTGCTCAAACTTACCTATGTGTGAGGTTTTTCTAAGGGAGGCAGAGACCACCCTGACTTAACCATCACAGCTCTTGCCTCCTCCAGTTCCAGCTCCTCACATCTTTATTGTTTAACTATTTATTTATTTATTTATTGATTGATTGATTGATTGATTTTTGGTCTTTTTGAGACAGGGTCTCCCTGTAGCCCCAGCTGTCCTGGGACTCACTATGTAGACCAGACTGGCCTTGAACTCACAGAGATCTGCCTGCCTCTGCCTCTTGAGTGCTGGGATTAAAGGCATGCGCTACCAAGCCCGGCTATTTTTATTTATTTTTTAAAATTATTTTTTATTTTATGTGTATGAGTGTATTGCCTGCATGTATGTAAGTGCACCAGTGTAGTACAATGCCCATGGAGGTCAGAAGAGGGTGTCAGATCCTCTGGAACTGGAGTTAAGGAAGGTTGTTAGCTTCCATGTGGGTCTGGGAACCGAATCTGGGTCCTCTGTGAGGGTAGCCAGTGCTCTTAATGCTGAGCCATCTCTCCAGGCCCTATTTTTATCTCTTCAAAAACTTCTTGTTTTATTTTACGGTATTTGAGTATTTTACCTACATGTTAAGCGCACCACATGCAGGCAGTTCCCGCGGTGGTCAGAAGAGGGCCTCAGATCCCCTGGAACTGATGTTATGAATGTTGAACAGCACCACGTGGGTGCTGTAAATCGAACCCAGATCCTCTGCAAGAACAGCTAGTGCTCTTAACCACTGACCCATCTCTCCAGCACCTCGCATCCGTTTTTCATCTATTCCTTGCTAGTTCCTCTTCTGAGAACACTTTACATTGTTATTAGAAATGAATGATTATCCTCATTGTACAGCTGATAAACAAGGCTTGGAAAGTTTACGTAACTTCCCCAAAGCCATGAAACCCTGAAGGCAATCCTAGGATTCTAGTCTGTTCCTATGCTTCTCAGTTACTTCGCAAGTGATCCATCCAGAGTAGTATTTCTCCCTCTGTAAATCTAACTCCCTCAAGCTTAACATTCTCCTGTGGAAAATGTCGTTGAAAAACTCTGATAAGTCTTTTGAACCTCGGCCTCACCCGTCTCTAGCCCAGCAAGCGGAAGTAGGGGGCAGCTGGCCGGAAATGAGGCGGTGAATCGGGCTGCTGGTGGAGCCTGAGTGTGGCCGCAGCCTGCTTGGTCCCAGGCTGGAAGTCGCGCTACCGCCTTCGTGGGGCTCAGGTGAGTGGCGCGGCTTGGAGGGCGCTGGCCCCAGGCCTGCGCTCGCCTCGCCGGGCCTGCGTGTGCCAAGGCCGTGCTGCTTCCCGGCCGCGTCCCAGGCGCCCCTCTGCTGCTCTCAGAACCTCGGCCACCGTCGCCATTGCGGACTTCTGTGACTGTGGGCAGGAGACTTAACTGAACCTTGTGGGTTTTGTTGTTATTGTTTTTAACCCCCTTGTGAAGGGAAGATCGTAACCCCGATAGAGTAGGTGTTTCTAACCAGACTCTAGCGCTTTGAGCTGCAGCTAATCGAGGACTTGGGAAGGGTGAGTTCATGTTAAGTTTCAGCATGCCGTGTACCTTTTCCTCATTTTTAGCAGTTTCTGGTTGCATAAGCTCAACTCGGGTAGTGTTGCCCACCTCTCCTTTTTCTCTCTAGGAATAGGAAATACTTGCTTTTTTTCTATGCAGATCGTGACACAGCTTTTGCTTTGACTCCAAACTTTGGACAGGTGCCCACATACCAGGTACATTAATGGGTCTTTTTAGGTAACCATCTAAGAACCACCTCATTACTTACTCAGTGTAGACATCTGGGCATTACTTCATCCTGTGGAGCTCAGACCCACGTGCTTTGGAGTCGAAGGTGATTGGTATTTTGTGCACTGGTCTTGTTTTCTGCACTTTGCACACAGTGTAAGTCCCAAGAACATGCCTTTCCAGAGCTGGTAGGTTCTGCCCAGAATCGCTTCGGGCAAGCACTAGATGATTTAGTCCTGCTTGGTAGACTAAAATAAAATGTGCAGACTGCTACCATACTCCCGAGGAAGTGAGGCCTTTAGCAGTTATGAAGGCTAATGTTTTCAGTGTGGTTTCCTCTTCCACATTTACTGATTTACTTTTTCTGGTCTCTAACAAGGCCTTATTTATCACATGAGTAAATCTTTCTGGCCAGGCATGGTGACACACACCTTTAACCCCAGCACTCAGTATGCCAAGGCAGGCAGAGCTCTGATGAAGGACAGGCAGTATAGCAACTTCCAGCCAGCCAGAGCTTCATAGTAAGACCCTGTCTTAAGAAACAAAAACAAGGGCTGGAGAGACCACTCAGCAGTTAAGAACACTGGCTGCTCTTGCAGAGGACTTCTATTCAGTTCCCAGCACCCACATGGCAGCTAACAACTGCAGGTATTTCACGACATGGGTTCACTTACAGACATGTAGGCAATACACTCATACACATAAAAATAAAAATAATAAAATTATTATTTTTTTGGTCTTTTTGAGACAGGGTCTCCCTGTAGCCCCAGCTGTCCTGGAACTCACTATGTAGACCAAGCTGGCCTTGAACTCACAGAGATCCACCTACCTCTGTCTCCCAAGTGCTGGGATTAAAGGTGTGTGCCACCACGCCAGGTAAAAATAATAAAATATTAAAATAGAAATCCGAAGCTCTTTACCGAGCAGACCTTGCATACTGGAGAAAACAAGTTAAAAAAAGCAAGTGTTTTGTTGATTGTTACTGGGACTGTTTGTGAATTTTATCTCATGACAATATGGGTGGACATACTTTACCTGCCTGGCTTTCGTCAGTGATTTCAGTACTTCTATTTTAGATGAACTGGGAGGACCCTGTGATTATATGGAGAAACTTTTTTTTTTTGAAACAGAGTCTCCCTGTAGCCCCAACTGCCCTGGAGCTCACTCTGTAGACCAAGCAGGCCTTGAACTCACAGAGATCATGTGCCTCTGGCCGAGTGCTGGGATTAAAGACGTGCCACCATGCCCAGCTAACTTTTTTTAATATTTTATTTATTATTTTTATGTGTATGAGTGTATTGCCTCCATGTAAGTGCATCCGTGTTGTGAGTGCCCTCGGAGGTCAGAAGAGGGCACTGGATCTCCTGGAACTGGAGTTACAGACGATTGTTAGCCACCATATGGGTGCTGGGAACCAAATCAGGATCCTCTACAAGAGCAGTCAGTTCTCTTAACTGCTGAGCCATTTCTCCAGCACTGAGAAACTTTTCTAAAGATGGGTTTAGCAAATCCTTTAAAAGCTGTTATTCCATCCCACAGTGGCAATACACACCTGTGATCCTAGTACATGGTAGGCTGAAACAAGAGAATTGTAACGACCAGGCCAGCCTGGGCTGCTTAAGTGAGACCCTATCTGAAAGAAATACCTGTGTCAAACAAAAACTTCATCATGGGGCTTTTCAGACTAGTACTTCCCCACACCCTTTTTGCCATTCAGATAAAGGAATAGCGAGTCTTAGAATTGGAGTGAGGGCTTTGTAAACTGAAGAAGTCTGGCAAATGATTGTGATGTTCTGTTTTCTTTTCTGCAAGCTAAAACAAGAGTAAAGAACAGGGACCGGGCATGGTGGCATGTGCCTATAATCCCAACATTCAGGAGACAGGCAGAAGGATTAGGAGTTCATAGCTAGCCTGCCTTTTTTGGCTACATAGCGAGCTTGAGGCCAGCCTGGGTTACATGAGATCCTGTCTTAAAACAAAAACCAAAAATACCCACCAAATTGGGTGGGGGTGGGAGGGTGCATGTGGAGAAGAGGGGAAGGGATGATTTGTGCTAGACTTGATTTTGTTTTGGCTTTGTTCTGTGGATTCTTATCATGACTTACACACTTCTACACTTGTGTTTAACCTTCTAAACCTATTTTGATAAACTCTGCTATATGAGAACAGAAGCCAAGAACCGTCTTTGTAGGTAACATCCTCACTAACAGTTAAGGATCATTACTGTCAGTCTCTAAGTCTTTGGGACTTTAAAGCTTCGTAGACTCCCAGCAGGAGACTTCAGCACCCAGAAAAAGTTAGGGACTGGGATTATAGTAAAGCCTAGCATGTGTGAGGCCCTGAGTTTGATTTCCAGCACTGCAAAAAAGAAAAAAGACAGTGTGAGATCCCATAATTGGTAACCTGTATTCACTAAGAGTCATAATCTACAGTTAGCATGGCTGCCGCCTTCTGCCTGGCAGAATTTCTGGACCATAATTTTTTTTTTTTTGTCTTTTTGAAGCAGGGTCTCCCTGTAGCCCCAGCTATCCTGGAACTCACTATGTAGACCAGGCTGGCCTTGAACTCACAGAGATCCACCTGCCTCTGCCTCCCGAGTGCTGGGACTACTGGTATGTGCCACCACACCTGGTTCTTTGAGCATATTTTTAAGAAATTTTTTCTGGGGTCTGGAGAGATGGCTCAGTGGTTAAGAGCACTGGCTGTTCCTACAGAGGACCCAGGTTCGATTCCCAGCACCCACATGGCAGGTAACAACTGTCTGTAACTCCAGTTCCAAGGGATCCAACACCCTCTTCATACCTCCTCAGGCATTGCACAACACAGGTGTACTTATACACATGCAAGCAAGACACGTATACACATAAAAGAAGAATAAATAGAACATTAAGAAAAAGTTTTTATTTATTTATTTATTTTTTTATTTTATGTGTATGAGTGTCTTACCTGCAGGTAAGTAAGTGCACCAATGTCCAAGGAAACAGAAGAGGGTGTCAGGATCCCCTGGAACTGGAGTTAAGAACAGCTGTTAGCCACCCTGTAGGTGTTGGGAACAAAGGGCAGCCAGTACTCTTAACCATTTCCAACTCAGAGAGAGAGAGAGAGAATGTGTGTGTGTGTTTATTTATTTTGAGGCAGAATCTCCCTGTAGCTCTAGATGTCCTAGAACTTACTATATAGACCAGGCTGGCTTCCATCTCACAGAGACAGAGATCTGCCTGCCTATGCCTCTGGAGTGCTGGGACTAAAAGCATGCATTCAGCTTTCTGAGTGCTGGCTTTACAGATGTATGCCACTCTGCCCAGTTATAGAGGTAATTTTAAAAAATTACTACTTATAGGTGTGGGGATATAACTCAAGTGCTTGTCTAGTATATAGGAGGCCCTGGGTCCAATCTTCAATACTTCATAAACTGGATGTGGTAGTACACATCTGTAATCCAAGCACCCAGGAGAGGGTGGCAGGAGGCTCAGAAGTTCAAGGCCATTCTTAGCCATATGATGAGTTTGATGCTAGCCTGGGCTGTATCACCTGGTTGATCTCAAAAGGGAAAACAAAAAACAAACCAAAACTAAAAAAAAACATTTATAAATTAGGTATGGTAGTACAGTCCTATACTCCCAGCCTTTGTGAGGCGGACAAAGGAGGATCATGAGCTTGAGGCCAACCTGGATTATGTGAAACCCTATCTGAAAACAAACAAAATGACTATTGTCATTCCCAGAAGATTTTTGGTTTGGGTTTTTTTGTTTGTTTCATATTTTAAGACAGTCTCACTGTGCAGCCCTGACTGGTCTAAAACTCACTATGTAGGCTAGGCTGGCCTGGATCTCACAGAGAACCTCCTGCCTCTGCCTCCTAGATGCTAAGATTAAAGGCATTTGCCACCAAGCCCAGCCCCATAGTAACAATTTTAATCGCAACTAATTTAACTAGTTGGTCTATAGCAGGGGATTGTGAACTTTTTCCATGAAGGGCTAAATAATAAACACTTAATGTTTTATAGGCATGCAATCTCTGTGGTAGTTACTCAGTTCTTCTCTTGTAGTGGGAAAGCCAACACACAGACTAAGCATTAAAGAAAGGGAGAGAATGGCATTAGTTTCTAACCTCTCATGGTTTGTTCCATGGGAAAAAAATGGAAGATGTACAGTTTTCCAGGCAGAGTGGGGATGGAATCAGCAGAAGACTCAGTGGTGGCATTGCTGATCTGCCCCCTCCAGAGGAACCTATACTGCCCCTTGTCAGCAGGGCAGTTGTGTGAACTGGTACTCCTTGTACCTTGAAGCCTAGCTTTGGGTGACTCTTTTCTTTCTACACATGGATCCACAATGAACAGGCTTCTGACTTTCTGTTTTCCTCTATCACCAGGAGTGAGATTTTAGGTATGCTTTCCTGTTGCTTGACTTCTTACAGTAGTGATTCAAATTCTGTTAAGAAGCCTCTGGTAGCAGGGAGTGGTGGCCAAGCTTTTAATCTCAGTACTTGGGAGGCAGAGGCAAGTGGATCTCTGTAAGTTCAAGGCCAGCCTGGTCTACATAGTAAATTTCAGGCCAGCTGAGGCTGTAGGGAGACCCTTTCTCAAAACCAAAAAAAAAAGAAAGAGAGGGAGGGAGGGAACCTTCTGGAAACTGGATGTGGATGTGGGGGCACCCAATTGTAATCCCAGCATGTAGCAGATGAGACAAAGATGATCATGCGTTTGCAGCCAGCCCAGGCTACATATAAACAGAAAACACAGTAGGCTGGAGAGGACAGTTAGCCTTTTTCTAAGAGGAACATCACTAAAATGACAGGATTCTATAATTGAATTTGTACTATAAGAACTGGGAGGATTACTGTGGCTATAATTAAAGCTTACACCACTTTAAAATGAATTAAGGGACTGGTGAGATGGCTTAGCCTTCTAAGTAGCAGAGACTAGTCATGCCAGCATTAAAGTAAAAATCTCCCGAAACACTGCTTGAATTTCAGGATTTTCCCCTCGTGTGTTCTCTTCATAATCTCCAAAATGAAAGTCATTAGTATTTAGATTTTGTTGGCCTTCCTGAGTTGCTGAGTCTTTTCAGAATTAGAGTTCTGTCACCCGAATTTCTACTCTTGCATGACCCTTTCCAGCCCTCCTCCTATTTTCATCTTAAAACTGGACCTAGGAGAATAGAATCATAAGTGTCTGCTGAGGGACTAGAGAGATAACTCTGTAGTTAAGAGCAATTACTGCTCTTTCAGCAGACATGAGTTCAGTTCCTACCACCCATATCAGGTGGCTCACAACTGCTTGTAACTAGCTCCAGGGGTTCCAACACTTGGCTTCCCTCGGCCCCTGGACTCACATGTTCATACTTGTATACAGACACATATGCATATACATAATTAAAAATAAATACTAAAATCCTACTTTTTCCTTTATACTGTGAGCATGACCCTTTTTTGTCACTATTATAGCAGATAGCAGGCTTAATGATAAATGCAGGACTCCTGGTTTTCTTTCTCTCTTGTGCTTTGGGTATTCACTAACATTGAACTTACATGGTATCATGGCATGGACAGTAGTGTAATCTTTGTCACTTTTTTTTGTTTTGCTTTTGTTTTTGTGTTTGAGATGAGGGTCTCACTATGTAGACTGGACTTGAACTCAGAGATCCTCCAGCCCCTGGCCCCAGAGTGTGCTGGGATTAAAGGCATGTGCTACCACACCTAGCCGCATGCATCTATTTCTTCTTTTTTTTTTTTTTTCCGGTCTTTTTGAGACAGGGTTTCCCTGTATGTCCCAGCTGGCCATGAACTCACAGAGATCCACCTGCCCCTGCCTCCCGAGTGCTGGGATTAAAGGTGTGCGTCACTATTCCTGGCTTGTATCTATTTCTTATAATGAGTAGATTTTGGTATTGTGATAGGTAGAAGCCACTCATTCTTCATCTACCCTTTTTTCAGTATCTGGCACCAATTCTGGCCCTGTCATTTGTGGTCCATGGCTCTTGTGGTCTGCTGAAGATTTCCAGGCAGCTTCTGTGACACGCCTCCCTGTTCAGCTGTAGTCAAGCACCATAGGAACAGGAAGTTGCTTGGTCAGACGTGTGACTGTGCTCTGACTGCCAAAAAGATCAGTACTGACACCGGAATGGCGGCCACTCTCAAGCTGTTAAAACCTGTAAAATACCAAGCATTTTGCAGTCCTTTCACCTATATTGCAACCCAAAGTATGGCATTTTGGAAAATGGAAAACAGCACACAGCATGGGGGACAGAACCTTCCTGAACACAGTAGCTTCTGCCATCCTGCCAGAAAAGTTAAGAACACTGGTAGCACCACCTTGTCTCAAAGAGTCTTCACAACCAGCAGTGCCCTCCTGGGTTTGGAATTCAACAAAGCTTCTACCATTAAGGCCAGCAGGTTACATCCGGGCTCATCTAGTTCCATAAAACTTAATGAAGAAGACGTAGAAGTTTTTGATTCCTTTGAAGGCACTCGAGTTTTCTTAAAACTTAGGCCAGAATACCAGCTTCACAGCTACAACAGATCTGAGACTCGGCAGCCCCTGTCTGTTTCTGATGGTGAACTAATTTTGCATAAAGTCACAGTTTATCAAAATGACCTCCAGCCTGAAGTCATCACTAATTATTTTTGTAAGCTGAGCTCTTTGCCAGTAGAACAGCATTCCATTTTGCTGTCCAGTGCCAGGTTTGCTTTGCTCTGCCAACTGAGTGTGAAAAACATACAGCTCTTTGATACCCCAAATCTGATCAGTATTTTGAAAGCTTTTGTTGATTTAAGAATCCCTCACTCCTCTTCAATGGTAGATGTGTATGAAACCAGATTTTGTCATCAGGTATGGGAGATGAGTCTGGATCAACTTCTCTTGGTGGCTGATCTTTGGAGGAACTTAGGCCGCCGAGTGCCTCGGTTTTTAGAAATTTTTTTTAGTTATCTTAATTTGCATTGGAAAGATCTATCCTTGTCCCAGCTGATTCACTTAATTTATATTATAGGTGAAAATCGTCAGGTACCACAGGACCTAATGCAAAAACTAGAATCCCTGATCCTTAAGTATATAGATTTGATTAATTTAGAGGAGGTTGGTACAATCTGTTTGGGATTTTTTAAGTCAAGTAGCGGTCTCTCTGAGTTTGTCATGCGGAAAATTGGAGATTTGGCTTGTGCTGACATGCAGCATCTGAGCAGTCATGCCTTAGTTCACATTCTCAAAATGTTCCGTTTCACTCATATAGATCATGTAACTTTCATGAGGCAGTTTGGAGAGATTGCTCCTCAGCGAATTCCTTCCCTGGGGGTTCAGGGTGTTATGCACCTGACTCTTGCCTGCTCCGCCTTACGCACCCTGGATGAAGGAGTAATGAATGCAGTAGCTGCCTCTTTGCCTGCTAGGGTAGCACACTGTCGAAGTAAGGATATTGCCAAAATTCTGTGGTCATTTGGAACTCTGAATTATAAACCACCCAACACAGAAGAATTTTATTCCAGCCTGATGAATGAAATGTACAGAAAGATGCCTGAATTCAATCAATACCCAGAACATCTGCTTACCTGCCTGCTAGGCTTGGCATTTTCAGAGTACTTTCCAACAGAGTTCATCAGTGTAGCTCTGAGTCCAGAGTTTGTCAGGTTAGCTCAGGAGAGAAGTAAATTTGAACTTAGTAAGGAACTCTATACTCTTGATGGAACAGTTGGCATTGAGTGTCCAGACTACAGAGGCAGTCGTCTTAATTCCGACCTTCAGCAAGAGGTGTCTTCGAAGCTGTGGAACTTAGCAAGGAGGGATATGAGAGCAAAGCCTGAATTCCTTGAAGCTCTCTATTTACTTGAGACCATGTTAGGTGGCCCCCAGTACATCAAGCACCATATGATTTTGCCTCATACCCGATCTTCTGATTTAGAGGTCCAGCTCGATGCTTACATGAAGCCATTACCATTTAACAGTGAAGTGACACCAGCTGAAGATGTAGCTGAACTAAGATTTAAGCATGTGGGAGTCAGCCTTACAGATGATTTGATGAATCAGTTGCTAAAGGGGAAAGCAAAGGAGTATTCCCTGGGAGAAACTGAGACTGGCCAGTCACCCATGGAGTTAGAAAAGAAGGCAACCATACCCTTAGTGGGCTCTGCTTGTAATGTGACATCGGATAGATCTGGGGCTGGCCCGTGTCCTCTAGCCCACATGCAGCCTCCACTAGTGAAGCTAGCTATTCAGTTGACAAACAAGAACCAATATTGTTATGGTTCCAGGGATCTGCTTGGACTGCACAGTATGAAGAGGCGGCAGCTGATTCGAATTGGGTACCGCGTGGTAGAATTAACCTATTGGGAATGGCTTCCATTACTGAAACGAACTCGCTTAGAGAAGCTGGCGTACCTCCATGAGAAAGTGTTCACCTCTGCTCTCTGAAGGGCCCTCATGGGCATTTGTACTCATAAAAGCTATAGGTATACACAATACACCTGTCGGTTGAGCATCCCTAATCAGAAAATCAGTCAGAAGTGTTCCAAAGTCTGAAACTTTTGAGCACTGACAGATTCAGATTAGAGTTACCTAAATAGTAGTCAATGCAGACATCCCAAACTGAAACACTTCTAATTCCAAATGTTTCAGATAGGGATTCTCAACCCATTTTTCAAAATAATTATAAAAGCCAGAGTATAAATTGGATAATAAAACCATCTGTTGAGTAGACAACAGGTGTTCTCTTGCCTATGGCAGATTGTAGCTATTGTATGGTACCAAAAATGACTTGTAACCTAATACCAGTAGCAAGTTTCTGCTAGTTTGTATATTTTGCCCAGAATAAATAAGCATGTTCAAAATGTCCTTGGTCCAGAAAGTTGTATTGCACTTTTTTCCTTATTTGTTAGCTTTAAGTAACAGTTATTTTGAGGATTTAAAAAATTATGTGTGTGCATGTGTGCATGTGTATGGGTATGTGCATTTGAGTGCAGGTGACCCCTGCAGAGCCTAGAGGTGTCAGATCTGAAGCTGGAGTTACAAGCTGTTGTGAGCCACCTGATGTGGGTGTTGGGAACCAAACTTGGGTCTTCTGCAAGAATAGAAGGTGTTCTTGACCACTGAGTCATCTTTCAAGTACTGTCATCTTAAAACTGAACCTAGAATACTCAGCCATTAAGAGTGTTCTTTCAGAGGACCTGAGTTCAGTTCCTAGCACCCACATTGGATGGCTCACAACTGCTTACAACTTCAGCTTCAGAGGATCACGCTTCTGGCCTCTCCAGACACCTGCACTCATGTGCACATACCCACACACAGACATGATTGTATACATGTAAGTAACACAAGTCATTTGTAAACATTGGGGGGGTCTGTGAAATTTTTTTTTTTTTGGTCTTTTTGAGACAGGGTCTCCCTGTAGCCCCAGCTGTCCTGGAACTCACTATGTAGACCAGGCTGGCCTTGAACTCACAGAGATCCACCTGCCTCTGTCTTCTGAGTCCTTGGATTAAAGGTGTGTGCTACCACACCTGGCTATGAAAATTTCTTTTAAAAGGAACCCCTCTCACTATTATGTAATGCCCTCTCAAAGGTCACTTCCTTAGAGGATTTTCCTGACCATGCCAACTAAAACTAACCTATGGCCTTTGATCAAGATCTATCAAAACCTGCATTTTTGCTTAATTCATCTATTAACTACAAACGTATTTAGTTAATGTAGATTCTTTAGGATTTTCTGTGTATAGCTCCTGTTATCTGCACATATGGATAGTTTTATATTTTCATATTTAATTGGTTCTAGTAAGAATTGAATAGCAGTAGTGAAAGTAGTTGTCTTGTTTCTCCTCTTTGGAATGTTTCAGTCTTTAGTGTGATAGCAGTTGTGGGTTTCGAAAAATATTCCGTCTTCTTGAGGAAATTGTTTGTTCCTAGTTTGTTGAGTATCCAATAAGTAATATCTTCTTTAATCTTAGTGTATATTCTTTTGTCTAAAAAAAATTGTTTATCTGAAACTCAGGAAGCTCTGTAAGTCTGACAGTCCTCAGATGCAGCATCAAAACAGTATTCTGAATGAGTTTGTGTTTAAGTTAGGGTTTCAAAGTCCGAGGTAAGTTGAAAATTCAGGAGAAACTTAAGAGCACATGGAGTAAGGCCTGCACCTCTCACTGGTAGGCATCTATGTGGAATAAGTAAGGAAAGCCATCTTTCATTTCAGCCAGCTCTGAAAAAATGAAATAAGTCACAGGTAATTCACTTTAGAAATTATAAGAACAGTGTGTCTTAAAAGCTAAAGTGCCTAGTTTCTAGAATTGCTCACTGTATTGGTATTCCACTAACTCTTGAGTTGAAATGCTTTCCTCTTACTTGACAGGCAATTTTTTTCTTCCCTTTTCCCCACCCCGGTAACCTGTTTGGGCCTACCTATATATCTGCTAGATGTACTTTCCATTACCTTCTTATGAGACTAAAAATCAGATTGTTATAAGTCAGCTGTGTCAACCTCTTTGTAGATCCAAAATGGGTGCTCAACTGCTCAGTGTCATGGTCACCTTATTTTCTAAATTATCTTTGTAGACTCCCCTCCACCCCCAGGTTTTGAACCTCAACAATACAAAAGTTTTGCCTTTTAGAGAATATTACCAACTCTTCCCACTTTACTCAGGATCCCAACTTTAGCACTGAAGGTCACATGTTCTGGAAAATCCCTGAGTCCTAGGTGACCAGCACAGATCATTCCACTTGTACTTTCCCTTCCTGAGTCTGAGTACAGGAAGGCAGAAGAGAAAGATTTATTTCCATCAGGACCTATGAGACTGTCAGCTACAAGCCATACTTAAGAAAATGATTGAAGATGCTCAGTCCTTCCTGAGGAATCCATTCCAGGTTTTTAATTACTTACCTCAACTTCAAACACAAAAAAGGAAAACAAACGTAATTCACCAGTCTAGGGCATTGCCAATATATTTTAATTTCTACATGTCCACTTTTCCCAAACTATTGCATTCTTAGATGTAGGTTTTTTTGTTTTGTTTTGTTTTCTTTTTTTTTTTGTGGCAGTGCTGACATCAAACTCAAGACCTTGGGTATGTGAAGCAGGTGTTTTACCATTGAGTTATATTTTCAAACCCTAACTTTTTTTTTTTTTTTTGAGATGGACTCACTATAGCCTAGGCTGGCCTTGAACTCTGAATCCTCCTGCTTCAGCCTCCCAAGTGCTGGGATTACACATAAGTGCCACTATGTCTGGCACATTATATATCTAACTTCTGCATTTTGCTATAGTCATTTGTTATTTAAACAGCATGAACAGTAAATTTGTCATTCAAGCCAAGTGTGGCAGTGAGCACCTGTAATTCTAGCCCTTGGGAGGCAGAGGCATGAGGATCATGAGTTTGAAGCCAGTCTGGGCTATATAGTGAGTTCAGGACTAGCCTTGTCTCAAAGATCTTGTCTCAAAGCAAAACAAGGGCCAATGAGATGATTCACTAAGTAAAAGTGCTTGTCACCAAGCCTGAAGACCTGAGTGAGCTCATCCCTAGAGCCCACATGGTAGAAGGGAGGAAAACCACTTCCACAAGTTGTCCTCTGACCTTCACTTGCACACCCACTCCCATCTTCCATGTCTTAGAACATAAGTAAATGTTAAAAAAATTAACAAAAAAGTGACACATTTGTTTCTTACTGTGTGGACAGTTTAATTGAAGTCTAGGCCAAAGCACTTAGAACTGGTGAACAACTAAAGGACTCCCGTGATGGAGTCCAGGGATTATAGCTCAGTGGTAAGACCTTGAGTAGTGCGGTCACTGCCAGTGGTGGCTGCTTCTCCATTCTCGTGGGTGCCGCTCCTTTGTTCTCATGGGCATCGAGGATGTGCCTCTGCTTGCCCTGAGCTGAGGCCGCTCTTCTGCTTGCCTGGTGCTGAGGCAGCTCTTCTGCTTGCCCTCTGCTGCCCTCCTGTAGTCGCTGCTTCTGCCCGGCCAGGACCCCAAGAGCTCGCCTGGTGCTGAGGCAGCTCTTCTGCTTGCCCTGTGCTGCCCTCCTGTAGTCGCTGCTTCTGCCCGGCCAGGACCCCAGGGCCAGTGAGGAGACTGTGTCAGCAGAGCCACATTCAGACACAAGAGACCAGGTTTAGGTCTCCTTTATTGCAGGAAGGCACAAGCTTATATAGGGATAGTGGTCCAATCACAGCACAGCAAGTAGGATACCTCATTAGCATAACAGGTTTAGCATCCTATTACAGTACAGCAAGTAGGATACCTTATTAGTATCATCCTATTAGCATAACAGGCTTAACGTCCTATCACAGAATAGAGGGTAGGATGCCTCATTAGCATACTGGGTTTCAGATTACAGAGCCTGGATTCCTGGAAACCATGTGACCCTGACAGTTGCAATATCACCCTAGGCTCAAGCCTGTCTCCCACAGGGTAGAATATGTGAGACCTTTGGTGTGGTTTCCAGTACACACCAAGACAGAAAAAGGATTTGGATTTAAAAAATAAGCAAGTTATTAAATGATAGCATAAAGGGATCTTCTGGTGATTGAGCTGTTCTGTATCTTGACTGGTGTTTTCACAAATCCACACAGAATAAATTGTGTAGAATTGAATATATATACAAATGAATGCGTAAAACAAAATCTGAAATGAATGGATTGTTACCATTAATTTCCTACTTGGAGGTTTTCTATTTTGTGTAAAGATTACCGTTGGGGAAAACTAATCAGGTGTGGTGGCACATGCCTTAATAATAAGGGCTGGAAAGATTGCTTGATAGTTAAGAACACTGTCTGTGACACCGAGGCATGGTGGTGCATTGCCTTTAATTCTAGTACTTGGGAGGCAGAAGCAGGTAGAGCTCTGAATTCAAGGCCAACCTGGTCTACAAATAGAGTTCTAGGCTAGCCAGTGAGTGCTGTGAAGTGAGACCCTATCTCAAAGAACAAAGTCAAACCATTGGGGAAAACTAGGTAAAGGATGCCTGAGACCTACCATTTCTTACAACTGCATATGAGCCTTATTCTTTTTTAAAAAAGATTTTATTTATTTATTTTATGTGTATGAGTGTGTTGCTTACATGTATGTGAGTACACCCGCGTTGTGCAGTGCCACGGAGGTCAGAAGAGGGCTTCAGATTCCCCTGGAACTGGAGTTAAGGATGGTTCGTGGCTACCATGTGGGTGCTGGAAATTGAACCTGGGTCCTCTGCAAGAGCAGTCAGTGCTCTTAACTGCTGAGCCATCTCTCCAGCCCCAAATGTTATTTTTCTTTTTCCTTTTTTAAAATATCTTATTTCCTTTTCCATTTTTTGTTTTGTTTTTTGTGTATGAGTATTTATTGCCTGCATGTAATGCATGTCATGCAATGCCCTTGGAGGACAGAAGAGGCAGTTGTTAGCTGCCATGTGGGTACTGGAATCAAACCAGGGTCCCCTGCAAGAATAAACAATGTTCTTTTTTTTCTTTTTTTTTTTTTTTGGTCTTTTTGAGACAGGATCTCCCTGTAGCCCCAGCTGGCCTGGTCACTATGTAGACCAGGCGGCCTTGAATTCACAGAGATCTGCCTGCCTCTGCCTCCCAAGTGCTGGGACTAAAGGTGTGCTCCACCATGCCCGGCTGTCACAGCCTTTGTTCTTAACTGCTAAGCCATCTCTCCAACCCCAACCTTCTTTTTCTTTTTTTTTTTTTTTTTTTTGAGCTGAGGACCGAACCCAGGGCCTTACGCTTGCCTCAAGCGCTCTACCACTGAGCTAAATCCCCAATGCCAACCAACCTTATTTTTCTTGAGAGAGGTCTTACCCTGTATCCTAGGCTGGCCTTGAACTTACAGAGATCCTCCTCCTTCAGCTTCCTGAGTTCTGGGAAT